GGGCCTTAAAGAGGGCACTCTTAATGTCACGTGACTCGTCTCCTGACAACATCATTATCACATGAGGTCAAAATTCCTCTAAAGCACTTCCTTTTCAAGATATCCGGAAGATTTGAACCAAATTGGATGTACCCTTCAGGAGATATAGTACTTTAAATTAGGCAGCATTTAATGTCAGGTGACTTGTCTGCTGATTATATTGTCATCACGTGAGGTCAATTTCCATTTGTAAACCTTCCATTCCTAACAACCTGCAAGGTTTCAACCCAATAAGACATGTACAATACAATATACAATACAAAACATTATACTTTTCGCGGAAAAGGCACAGATTAGATATCTTCAACATTTGTCCCTTTTGGCGTTCCATACCATGCGATCTGCTCTTGGCAGCACGTGGTCAGCATTTTACCAAGTCCCGAGTACGTACTGTGCGCCCACCTACATACATATGTTGCAGGCAGATATTGGGCATCCACACACACACAGTAGCATATGCACAGCATGCGAATGGGATTTTCGAGTTAGCAATTTATATTTTATGGGGTTTTTGTCGGTGGCGCTTCATGTGTGTGTAAAAGTACACCAGATATGCACTTCATGCAACTGACTACAATGTTTTAGCCGTCATCTCATGCACAATTCATGCTTATATCTCTTACAATTGATTTTTACTGAATTTTGAAGAATAAAAGAAGTTTTTATTGTAACTTCCGGTCTCAAACTTCACACACGTGCTGACTGGGTAAAGATGGTCATGTATGTCAATTTTCAGGCAATTCAGACCAACTTCGCCACAGACATCTATTCAAAATGCATTTCTCAGAATTTTTAACCTGTCGCTAGAGGGTGCTCGACTATTAGGTGACGTCATCAGTAGATAATTTGAAGAATTACTATACCCCAACAGACTAACACTGTTGAAAACAACTTGATATCTATTACCAATTTTAACCANCAAGAAGAGCACTTCCGTTATTGACCGGAAGGAAGGGTCACATGATTTGACCCACACAAGATGAATTCAAGACCACATTTTATTCTGGCACTTGCTGCAAAAGAATGTTGCGGGAGGCCACGGTTGATTTTATATGGATTTTTATAAATTAAACAGAGTATTTAAATATTCAAAATTTAATAATAAATCACTTGGTGATGTCATCATGACATCGTGTTTCTAGGACCATCTGGCATAAGGGTTCTTCATTGGTACAAGTTTGTTGATGATCCAAAGTTGCAAAGGGACTAAAGTCACTGGTAGAAAAATCGTTTACAAAAGAAACAGGCTTTTGAGCAGAAGAAGAAAAAGGAAGAAACTAGAGGTGGTGTTTTTGAACAAACACAGGCTGTTTCGGAGTTGGCTGTTCTAGTCAAATCGTATTTATAAAAGAAGAATGTTTTCAAAATAAATTTGATATGATAATATTACAGTTTCATGGAATACAGCTGAGTTGCCAAAATATTGGCTATATTGGCTATTTATCTGTGTAGAAAGTCAATTTGAAAGAAAAACCAAAATCATTAATAAATTCATGGATGTCATCACGACATCATTTGAACTGTATCATATCGACATTTGAGTCCATCCTTGATGCAACTATAATGAAAAAAGAGCAATATCTTTTAAAGGTTGCACATTCCATCTTGATCAGACGTGCATGCAATGGATAACTGGTAATGGCACGTGACCTGTCACATGATGTCATCACCACATGAGATCAATATTGCTGTAAAATACTTTGTTTTCTAGTTACATGCAAAGTTACAACATGAGTGGACGTGTACTTAAGGAGATAAAGAACTTTAAAGATGGTACCTATAGTGTCACTTGACATGTCATGTGTTATCACCATCATATCAGGTCAACAGTCCTCTAAATCACTTCGTCCTGAAGTTATATGCAAGGTTTCAGCCCTATTGCATTGTATTTCAAGAGAAACAGGCCATTAAAGAGAGCACCTTTAAAGTCACGTGACTTGTCACATGATATTATCATCATAACATGAGGTCACTTTTCCTTTAGAACACCATAAAGTTATATACAAAGTGTCAACACAATCGGACATGTACTTTAGAAGTTACTTTAAAGATTGCACCTTTAATGTCACGTGACATGTCGCATGATATATCGTTACAACATTAAACTCGTTCTGAGACCCCTCTTTGCTTCACGATCTTCCTTCAGTTTAAGTTCCATGTGTATATAATCTTGTTAACTTAAATAAACCTTAAAATCTATGTGCAAAGTCTATGGAGGAAAAAATGCATGCAAATTCTAAGGGAACTTCATTTAGTGACTAATATCGTTCCTTGAAATTTGTGTGCAAAGTCAAGGTAACGTACATGAACACTCATTTGCAGAAACACTGCCCCTATAAGTTCATGTCACGTGATTTTGCGCTTTAACTGAACAATCTTTATGAAATATTACTTCATAATCGGACTCTTAGGCACATTTCAAATCAAATTACAGAGGGTAAAGTACCTGATTTCTCTTTCGTTCTTGTAGTAATCTTGAGCCAAAGTAAAGGACTACTCGTTCACTTGTATTAAGTAGAAAAACGTGTACAAAACCTATGGGGAAAAATTTAATATTCAAAAATCAAAATGAATTAAATAAAGTGATGATGTCATCATGACGTCATCCCTTTGCAATAAATCTTGTATCAGGGTCTTTGTTGGCAATCACTTTGGGAACAATCAAACATTGCAAAGTGACCAAAATTATTGCTCGAAAACGTGTACAAAGTCAACGGGCTAGAAGCAGGTGTACAGGAAAACTGCTCCTTCAATTTCATATCATGTGATTTGTGTCTAAACTGAAAAAAAATTATGAAATGTTATTTGATAATCTGACTCTTTGGTATATTTGCAATCGAACGGAAGGGAAAATTTAGTCTGATTTAGTCTCTTTCGTTCTGGTAGTAATTTTCGGTCTAAGTTGATTATGCTGGACAATTGTGTACAAACCCTATGTTGTGCAACATCTATGGCTCAATATAGGACAGTTTGTTGAAAATTGAAATCCCAGGCAGGTGTAACTGTAATTCTGCAATAGCGCCCTCATAGCCTGATATAGGACAGTCCGAAAACTACGTTAATTTGTGTACAAAGTCTATAGGAAAAATTAATTATTCAAAAATCAATAATAAATTAATCAAGTTATCATTGTGAATTTCCTCTAGGACCGTCTTTGGATGATTGTTCAACTACAGTGTACCTGCCGAGTTTGAAGTTTGTCTGATTTTCTTATCTGCCAAAGTGCTATGTCAGGAAAAAATTGACTGAATAAGGAAAAAAAAGGAAAGAAAAAAGAAAATAAAAAACCGAAGGAAAACAGTATAAAAAAACTAGAAGGAAAACAAGAGCTGTTTCAGCCAACTGCCGAAACAGCTTAAAAAAAAAAGAAGAAGGAAAACAATAGCTGTTTCGGCAGTCGCTAAAAAAAAAAACAAAAGAAAAAGAATGCCTTTTTTGCAAAATTGCAAAAACGAAATCAAGAGCTGGTTCGCCGAAACAGCTAATTACATGTACATGTACACTCATGAACACAGAGAATACATGTACATATACATAAATAAGATACCAAGTTCTGTAAATTACCCCCTTCATGCCATAGGATTCTTTTGACCTTGACTGCCCAGTATGCAAAGCTTTGTCCTTCAGCTGGCCCCATTGAACCAGCAGCTGTATGGTGGATAATGGTAGACTGTACATGTACATGTATGTGTGGTTTGCACTAATCCTCACTCAAAGAAAACCTCTTGCAACATAATATCGATGTCTTTCTGGCATGCAGCCTTTTGCATCCGCAACGTGTATGGTCGATGAAGAGTGTTTATGTACAGTTCATTCAGTACATGTACAGTACAGACTGGTACTGGTTGCTACATTTCCATCACTCATTCTTTTGCCTGGGTGTGGTGGGAACCTGAGCAGCTTCATGCACATGTTTTCACCACTGTGACAGTGAAACATGAATATTGATGATGTGCAAAGAATTATGGGGCGATTTCGTGTCTGTGCGAGTAAAGTATGCATACACGAGTTGCGCTAGGTGACACGGCCGATGATGAGCGATGAGCCCTGATGAATGTCTTGGGGGTAACTAACGTAATTCTAACACAAAACTAATAATAAATCAGATGCCCTAATCCCATGTATTGTGTTAACATTTTCAGAGCTGTTATTGTTATGTTGGTTGGACAATTTGTCCAAGCATCTTTGATTTTGTAATTTCATGCTCTGGTAGTTAAGTTGCAATCTCAAATGTAAATTGAAACTATAAGTTATACACCGTAACATCATTGGCACAAGTACAGGTTGACTCCTGTGTTCACTCCATTTGCTTATCTTTGTTGCCTTGGCATCCCATTTGAAGCAAGATATGGGACGGAGAGAATCCCCCCACCACCTTTGTGTTGGTCATTGTTTGATCGGAATCTCAGGAATTCTTTACGGACTTCTGGGGGGATGTGTTAGGTAACAATAGTGTAGAGAGTGTATAGGGATTGGACAGGTAAGGGGGGTACCCCTCCGTCCCATATCTTGCCTGGTATATGGCATCCTTGAGCTGATACTTCAAGTGACTTCCTAAGTGACCTACATGTACCACTTCATTACATTATAACAGCAAGTGTGCTATACACAGTTCCGCTTCTGCACAGAAAACAGAGGAAGTTAAGCAAAAAAAAATGACATTTCACATTTTATTTAACTTTTTGGAGACATGCCTTTATGGGGACATTTATGCTCTTCTTGGCACTCCACTGTATCTCTTCTCTTTTGTAATTTTTGCCTGTTTTCAGTTGTATTGCGTTTTAGTGTGGATGCCTAAATAAAAATTGATTTTGCATGTAGATGTAATTTTCCTTACTTTGATACTAATACATGTACATGTAGATTCCTAAACAGTTTGTGCAAATATATACGTCGCTACATGTACATTGTGTCTTGACCAAAGACTTGAAGTGTCCCTCTCCTTTTTTCTTTCTACACAGATTGATGCTTTGACAAATTGAAAAAGTGGTAAAATGGATCAACCTCATTCCCAGCATCCTGCAAAACAGCATAAAAAACACAGCAAGAATGTTAAAGAAAAGATAAAAATAAGAGAAGAACACCAACAATACTTGAGAAAAGTTGAGAACAAAACAAGTAACGCCCATGCCGATCTTAATCCGGAGAAGTGCATGCAGAGAACAGGTTCTATCTGTGATGTTGCAAGAAGAAAGGACTCAGATGCCAAGTTGCAGGAGGAACACATTCCAACCATAGACCAGGGTCCTACTCAATTGGCACATGCATCAGATGGAACAGCTGACCGAAACACCCAATCTGAACAAAAAAAAGGGAAGAAAAAGGAAATTGAGCAACCACTCTCTACTGTAATGCAGTCGAACACTGTACATAGCAGTGATGATATGATGGAGAAGCATTACATATTCCGACTAAAAGAGGTACAAAGCACCCCTATATATTTTTGGTTCAGCCTGTCTGAGGATTTGAACATGCTGAAGAGCTGTTGATACACTAAATTACTAGAATGGTAATTTATACTCTTTCGCGTCAAGATACTCCTAAGCTGTCGTGAGCTCAAACATTTTGAATTCATGTGCGTATCTGTAGATCACAATGAAAAAAGATGGAATGTACATTTGAATTATGCAAACTAAATGTAACAGACATGTACAACCTACACAAGCGTCATAGAAGCATTTTTTCTTTTGAGTAAAACACAGTAAGAACTCAAAAGCTGTGCATATGGATAGACAGCAGTACAGTTATGTATCAGTTGAAAATATACGTGCAGATATGCTAATAGTCTTTAATGCCAAACCCTTGCTACAGTTCATAGCAAGTTTAATACATGAAGTGCTGTAGTAATTTAATACTGGTTATTCAGTATGCCTTCCAGTCAGCTGTTTTGAAGACGAACAGTACCATATTTGTGCATCCACACTGTACATGTACATAACAATCATGTAGCATTTTTCTCGTTCTTTTTCATTTGAACAAATTAACGTTAAAATAAATTTTGTAAAGACAGAAAAATATGTATTGGGTCACTCTTGTAACACATTAGGTATCCCTGAAAACTTGACAGGATTCACTGAAATCAGATTTTTTCCGATAAAAATTATACCTTTAATTTTGTCATGCCATACTTTTTGTTTGGCTTTGGGTGTTTAATAGCTCAGGTCACCCGAACAAAAATTTTGGTACTTTTAATCTTTCTTTTTTATTTGTGGTGTAATTATGCTTTTAGAAAAGTTCAAGGTTTCCTCAGGCTACGTTCTATTGCCGGTTATGTAATTACCATCTGGACACTATAGCATTGTGTATGAAGCACTGGAAAGAACCAAGACACTTGAAACTGGAAGAGGTAAGCAACCTTGATTTACATATACTTTAACTTATCACTGTATTTTGTAAAAGGTTTCACTGTATTTTGTAAAAGGTGTACATATACTTGGCTTGGGCGGTATTTTGGTATTACCGAATACCGCGTTTTTTTAATACCGAACAATACCGACTAACCCATGAATACCGGAATAACGACTAATTCGGTATTGAATTTCAATAACACGGTATTCTGGCTAATTTGTTCAGAATGTTCCCACAACCTTCATATGATGAAAGCAGACAATTATATCCACAACAGTGACTGCATACTTTGTGGTTTCAGTCATCCAGCATCACGTTTGTATTGTCTCTTTTGGTGAGGAGATAAGACTTAATGTGATACTTCAGCATGCAGCCATCAACCTGCCTGTCAAAAGGTTTTGTTTCCCAATCGCCAACGTCGAGTTTGCGGTTTTGGAATAGCTTGTAGGCAGTGCTTCTTGTATTACTCACTGGCACATGTATACGTGTACATGTATCACAGCCGTACATGTTGGAAATTAAAAATCAACTGGTCTTCCGTGTTCGCACTGGACTTTATTTTCCGAAGATTTTTATTGGCGGATCAGAAATCTATCTAACCGAAGCCAGGAATGTTTGTTATAAACTATAAAATGATTCTATAAATCTGCATCTTTTCGACATCCACGGCAATCAATGATCTTTTTTATTGTTCCCACATTCGTTCCAACCACACGAAAGGAGAAGCAAAAACCTGATTCCTCACTTGTCACTGCTTGTATTTCAGTTTGTCTGGAATAAAATTAGGACAATGTGGTTGATCAAAAAGATCTCTCGGTTATGATTAATCAAATACCTTGTGATGTACGTTGTAGGACAACATGTTTAATGTGCATGTGAAATTTAAAAAAGCAAGTACATGTGAAAGCATCGATCCAGGGATTTTTAAAAGACTTTCAATTGCCATGGATGACGACGAAGTTAACAGTAACTAACCTGCATGCACATGTAGGCCTGGATGTACCTGCAAGAATGTGAAGGCTCATCAACTAAAGCCCCCATCCACATAAGTAGTCTTTCCAACACAAATTGTGTCATGGAGAGACATTTTTTGTTAATTTTTTGTCTGTCTTTTGATTTTTGACACAAGCTGCATGACACGATTTTGATCGATAGGCTGAGTTCACTCGCCCGCTGCAGCGTGGCCGCCCATGCGCAAGATGGTAGCTGAAGGAGCATGATGTCATGAAGGAATATTGCGATTGGATAGCTGTTCTCACAAAATGTACATGCACCTCGTGAAAACACACGGTCTCATCGGCCGATATGCTAGGTCTTTTTGCAGCAATATGAATAATTCAGTGTTTGGGCGATTGGTTAAGCTCTTGAGATACAAGAATAGTCATGCGAACTTATTTGGGGCGTATTTTATCGGAAATGGGATGGGAATTTTTGTTTTAGCGTTTTTGTAATCAAGGTAAATTATCATTGATTTTAATTGTGCACTAGCGTGTCATGACGACAGGAATCTGGCAAAAGATGTCTGTACATGTATATCGCGTTGTAAGCGTGCATGATGCATATGGAGGCATATGCATATATGCGATAAGCTTTGTGTTGCGTGACTGGAAGTTTTGTGGAAGCACGCTCGCTTGAGTACAAGCAGTACAACCTCAAATTAAATTCATGAACACAGAAAACATAGACATGAGATCAATTTTTGTGAATGTACCTGCAGAAAAATTTGTGACGGCAGTGTTTTTGTGACTTGCAACTACAGAGCTGCATTCGATGTAGTGGAACGTGGATCCTTTTTTTGGCAGAACCTGTACATTGACTGGTTGCTGCATTTCCATCATGCCTTCAGTGGCAACAGTTCGGACCGGTGGGAACCAGTGTGCACCATGCACATGTTTTCACCGCTGCGATTCGCAAACGTTTCATGAATGGTTTTTCAGGCGACGGAGTCACGAAAACCTTTCGTTGTTCCATGGGGGTAGAATACATTCCTCTATGGTTGTAACAGGAATTTCGTACATTTCTATTTCGCCGAAACATATTTTCTCCCCATAGAAATGTGCACGTTTTCACCAGGACCACAGATTTGTGCTTGTTGTAATCGGAATTTCGTTACAACTGCTTTCGTAATAACAAGAGTCAACTGCCGCGTTGCAGAGTTTTCTGAAAGCCACCATACCATAGCACACGCGCAGTTTAGGGTGCAGCTAAGATGAGCAACCACTGGTGACCCGCAAGTAATCATTACAATCATGCACTGTCTCAGCAAGTACCAACTTGACTGTAGTACCGGTATATGTGCAGATTTTCACACCGTACGAGTGACCACACAGATATAGGAATCATGGAGCAACGAATCAGTATTTAATACACTGTCCCTTTAAAAAAAAAATGTTCACATAAATAATTTTTATTTGACATCAAATGGAGATATAAATTATAACAGTTATTAAGTTTAGGGGGTTTTGTGACGTTAAAAAACCCTTTATGATGCTGGCCCCTAGTGTTGTTTGTGATTTGCCATTGAATGTCAGCATCGCTGCTACTTTTTGATGATGTCGTTGCCTTCTGCAACAAATACCGCGGTATTAGTAAATACCGCGGTATTTTTTTCATGGATACCGCGGTATCGAAAAAGGTAATACCGCACAAGCCTGACATATACATGTATTAACAATTTACAATGTACATGTATATGGATACTTTAGCGAAGCCCTTTGCTGTCTGTTCTTTTATTCCCTGTTGTCAAAGCAGTGCAATGAGCAACATTGCTTTACATGTGTACTTATTAGAAAAACTTGTTGGGCGTCATCCCCAAATTCCCATTTTCCATGACGCAGACATTTTGTAGAATCACAGAGAGCACGCTAATCCCTGCCAAACAAAAGAACCGTTAACAACCTGGTGGATCTGCAGATGGAATGCAACATGGAAGCTTTAAAATTACCAACCATATGATCTTCCACACATCAGCCGGCAATCTTTGGCAGGGCAAATTCCTTTGAATTAACACATGGCCAAGTTTCCACAAAGCAACTGGTTGACTTCCAGTTTGAACAAGACAAAATGCCAATTGGCCCCCAACTTGACAACAGCAAGGTTTTTTTTCTGAAATCAGCCAAACCTTTTTTCTGAAATCAGCTAGTCGCCCTGGTGGGAATTCCAAAATGGATGCATACATTTACATTTAAGTACTGTACAGGATTGATACGTACTGCAATTTGCCAAAATTGACCGATTTAGGGGTTTGTGACTTAAATGTACCTTATGTGTCATTAAAAAGACTTGTTTTAGCTTTGGAGTTCACTGCTGTTAATTTTTGACAGTCAGAGCACAGCTCATGTAATTTGTCTTGCAAAACATTTTCTGCCTGGCAGGAACGTTCACAGATGAGGTCGATCTGACCCTTAAGAAAGACATTCTTTTCCTTTGTTTTGCATGGTAATTGTGGTTGGCAAATTTATCTTCAACTATGTGTTTCATCTTCAACAATGCAATGCTGAGAATTGTCAAACACCGATATATCCTGCTGTGAGTTGACTGCAGTACTACAGTGACTACACGACCACATACATACACGTGCACAATTCACTAGGCACATGTACATGTACAGTTCACTTTTCACGTGTAGGCCTGCTTACATCGGTCAAAAATTTTTCATACACATCATCTGCTCCTACAGAGAGGCCGGGATTGATTTCGACCATACCATTAGCTTAAGGGGTGATACCGAGATGATATATTTACGCAAAGTAAACTTCCAAAGTTTCATAAATAAAGTTTAATTTCAAACAGACCAAATCTCTTTAGGTCATTAGTTATAGTTATACATGTATTTTATTAGCCAGGAATGACTTTTAAGCATACCGATGGTGCGTTGGCATTTTGCACATGACCCTCTTCCAACAGCTCCTGTTAACGGTTGCAGTATTTGATCATTTGTACTGTCCAAAGATCGTCTGTCTGGACGATCATTGGAAAATTAATAAAATTTCTCTTCTCTCAAAAATAACAGAAGGTCTGGTGGTAAGGTTTCACAGATTGTTTGACATTATTATGTACCAGTACTTACTGGTAAGATATTTCAAGATAAGTCGACAGTCCCGCTTTTGAGATTTTGCTAATCCTATAGGAGTACACAGCTCAGTGCAGGGCAGAAAGCTGTCTGAATTGTCTGTTAGTGCTTACAGTAAAATGAGTCACAGTAAAAACTTACTGCCATTAGAGTAATTACTATCTTTGTTCCGAATTTAAAGTTTTATGAGCATGAGGTATGCCTACGAACATCCAGTGATGTGGAGGAACAAAGCAAAGAGACCAGCTGCTAAACCACCTTTCGAGAGTGACAGCTAGTGCTGCAGCCAAACCATCAGATTGAGCCCAAAATCATAGAACATGGCATTTTCAAACCGAACCAAACCAAACTACACTGTACATATACTGGTCGGTTTAGATGTTTGGCTTTGATATGGCACAATATAGATAGCAAATGGAAACTATTTAAAAAAACTGAATAACAAAGCAAACACAACAAAAAATGGAAAACAAGTTTCAATACAATTGTTTTTCATTTTTCGTTGTGTTTGCTTTATTATCAATGTCATGTATATGCTGCATCTGCACTCTGCAGATGTGTGAGTACACATGGTGTGACTTATCTGATTAAATGCCATAACTACAGTAGGACGGCACTCATGCATTCTTCAGCTTGACCCGCGTACGCATTTGGCAAATCGTGACACCCTATTGATCGAAGAAGGAATGAGACGCCCGTGTACCACTTGTCCACGAGTGCTGTAATGGCTTCTAATTGTAGTCGTCGAATCACACCAAAGCAGGTATGTACAGTAAATTTACGATGGCCCCGGATCACATGATGGTGGAAAATGCATGTGATGAAAATTCACTAATAATTAATTAAGAACACCCAAGATACATGTAGAGCATTTCAGCTGCAGAACAGTACTAAATTCTCACTACATCCAATTGTGTTTATGTATATTCAGACCAACATTGTGTGTGCCGGTCTCCAATATTCATGCCCCTTACGTTCCATATTAGGCAAATGATGTCATAAATGAAGGTGTAGAAATTGTGATTGAATGCTGCTGATCATAGTTGACTCCTGTTCGATCAAAGGCAACTCCAAAAGAAAAGAAATGATGAAAAGAATGATTTTGCCAAGTGGAGCATAACAGTTCTTCAGTGTGCAAGCAGCTAGAATTGGTGCATGCAGGGCCAAATTCAACTTTCAGCTTTCATTTGATAAAAATTGTAGTATTTACAAGTTGGAAAAGAATTTTGCCAGATCTCGAAGTTGTTCCCAGATTTCAAATAACAAAATGCCGTTTTCCATTAAAAAAAAAAGACTAATTGAAAATTGCCCCTTTGGACGTGGTCACCATCCTGGGAAAGAATGCTGACTTGATACCAGGGTCCTTTGAATATATCAAATGCCACAGTTTGGTAGTAGAATCTGTTTTGTTAAAAAAAAATAACCACAACACAATGCACTTGAAATGATGATAATATTTCATGGAAATGTAATGCCTAAATAAACGCTGGGGAAACGTGTTGAAAAGTTGCTCACGGGTATGTGATGGAGGAGATATTTTACTGGTATTAATGTATCATTTTTATACACGGAAGTACTACAGCATGTCCGTAGCGAGTTTCCAATGTCTCATACACATACATAACATTATACATGTATATATATGTATACGTACTCGTATGCACATGCATGTAAATGTGCCAGTGTTGCAGTACTCATACTCAGCATTTGTACTCAACTACTACTGTGTTTAGAGTACTTACGTCTTGGACTCAAATTTTCCAAGTACTTGTACATTGTGAGCATTTCTACCAATTTTTGCATCTATCCACCCCTTTGAGAAAGTGGTACCCTTGCAAATAAGTCCAGGAATCCCATAAACTTTACCCGCAAGTTTGGGAATTCCAATGACAAAATTACACAAGTTCCAAAAATGACGTCTTCGGGAAACACCGCCTCACGCTGGAACTGAATTATGCCGGGATTCTTAAAACTGGTTCCTGTAATAAAACAGAAGGAGGTAAGTTTTTACGTTTGTTTAATGTGTTTATTGAACCAAAATATTCACAAAAACGTTGGGAAAATCACCACAATGTGTAACATGTAGCCGAACAGCCGACGACCCATGCTAATTCTTGTCGATTGTACATACCAACCCCTTCAAAATTACATTACGTCATTGTTTACATTCACATTTTTGATGCAAATGACAAATAATAACAAGCGAGAAATGCCATTTAAAACATGAAATATGAAAGACGGTTTATATTGAGGTATTTCTCGGTATACGTTTTGTTTTGGACTTGTTTGTCCTGTGTATCTGAAAATGCAGGATGGCGTAACACATTTTTGTGTTCCACGCCGTCCCTGGGATATTCCTATTCATCAGTATTCGCTAGAGTCTTTTACAAATGACATGGCCGTGTTTTGGGGTGAATGAGCTCGTTTCATTTTATTTCCGTATTTCATCAAACATTTTTAATAATATGAGCCATGAAAAAAATTATAAGATTCTTTAAATGTAAGAAATATCGGTGAGGGATACACTGATGTAACGGTACTTTTTGAGAATGTGTTGTCCCTATTACGTCAGGACTCGGTTTATGTAAATGATGCTCGGTCGTTTTTTTTACTTGGTTCGTGATTGAAAACAAGCACATGTATATTAAAATGCTCTGCTCTTAAAATACTCATTCTTTTTTTTTCTTTTTGTTGTTGAGATAACAGTCACCATTATGCACCATGGTCTTTGACGCAACATATGTTAACATCCCCTTTGTTACGTCGGTACACATGCTTGTGCATTTTGCCCAATACAAACTGTTGGGCCTAATCATGTACAAACCAACCTGTGGTGATGTGCCTTGTCTCTATCGTGTAATGCAATGGCTTATGTAGGCTTATGTACATTTATTCATAATGATTGGATCCTAATATACCGGTAGGCCTATTCCTCGTGAATTTTGTTGTTAAATTAAATTCCGTGTATGTGCAATGACTGAAACAGTTAAAAGTTACTTTTGTACTTCCTGTGGTGTAAGGCCATGTAAAAAAAAATACATGTAGTTTCTTATCTTTTTTTTAAATGGAGGATGCAAGTTCCCTCCCCAAAAAAGTTCCTGTGAAACTGTTTGCTTGTGTGAAATTGTGGATACGAAGGCCATTAGAAATCAAATACACTGTATCATTGTTCAGGCTTGGTGCTTTTTATAGCTCCATGGTTCAGGTAATAAATGCAGACTACTCGGGAACAATTTTTTGGAAAAAATGCATTTTGTACAGTACATACAACCATGGAGGAAAAACCATGCAAACTGCTTTACCAAAACCATGTCATTCCGATAACTGTTCGCCAAAAAATCATTTCTCAGTTCCAAATTGAGTGCATCAGTTTTTGATTTTGTTTACAAGTAACTTTATCAGTATTATTAAATTTTACTTTGAACAAAGAAAACTGAGAGGAGCGCGACTTGTACCTGCATCTCCGGAATACCATACCGTTCTGTCAGTTTTCTTTGTTCACAGTAAAATGTATTGGAATTCACTTAGTCAGTTTTCCTTGTGTGTTCATGTTTCAGTACATTAGTAAATGCCATTTTCTTTGTTTGTATGTGTTTATGCTCAATAGCTCAATGGCATCATGCCACCTCCAAGACTATGACTGCGGCTGGTTTTAAAGTAACATTGGAAGAGATCCAATGATCAACGTTCAGATTGTCAGCTGGATCTTCACCCTTCAACCTCATTTTCAGTACTCACAACAAGCAGTCATGAAGAAAATGCTCCAGTGCCCAAAACGAAGAAAGAATGTTGGAGGAACAAAATGAGAAACAATAACCCAGCTAACTATGAAAAGCAGAAGGAGTTGGATAAGCTGTATTCAGTGAGTTACAGGGCTAGGCTCACTGGTGATAAATTGAAGCATTACAATGAATCTGCCAAACACAGAATGAGAGCTTTTTGAATAAGAGAAAAAGAAAGGTCAAAACCACAACAGAAGGCACCCAGAAGAGGGAAAGCAGAAACGAATGTTAAAACTAGAGCTCAGAATCAAAAGGCTGCGGAAAAGAGAGAGAAAGCATGATTGAAAAAGCTAGCGCAGCGAGCCAAAGCAGGCTTTAAAGAAGCAGAAAATGCACGTTGTAGGGCAACAAGACAACAGGAGAAGTTGGAATTACTGGAGTAAAGAAGAATGAAAAAAAGAACTTGCCAAAGAACGTCATGAAGAACAAGAGTTGTTGAAAGATTGGCAGCAAGAAGAGGACCTTCTGCAGAAACAGATCAAGAGAGAAAGAAAAAGTCAAGCTCAAAGAAAAGCAGTGTCCAGGGCTTTCAAAAGCCTACCATCATCACCAACCAAGCTGGCAAAGACCATCATCGGGGTTGTTAGAAATAAAAGGACCAGCCCAACAGTAAAAAAGCTGTCTCGTAGGGTTCGGTGTGGCTCATCAAGAAGTAAGACGTGTAGTGGGAATATCCGTGGAGAAGCAAATGGAGGAGTTGAAGACAAGGAAAGGGAAGGATTTGGCAAAGAAATGAAATTTGATGCAATGCTTCA